GACCGCCGGAGAACTATCCCTCTCTGGTTCACCTGACCTGCATACCGACACCCAGGCTCCGCAGCTCCAGCACGACCTGATCCCTGATCTTGACACCGACTGTCACGCATCGCCGTAGGATGCCGTACGCATACATGCCCTTTCTTTGCTGGGCATCAAGGAACACTGACGCCATGATGTTATACATACACTTATACACCAGCGAGAGTCCTAGAGACTAAAGGCCCTGGAGTCTGGAGTCTAGAGTCCACCTGTCTATAGCCAACACATAGCGTCACCACAAGCGCAGCACCAACAGTGAAGCTTGACGTCCGGCCGGTGGCAAATTTTGTGCATCATTGTAGACTGTAGACTGTAGAGTACCTTGACGCCAGTAAGGCATACCGCTCTTCGAGCCTGACGCATGCGGAGTGCAAAATGTCATGGGCCCTGCCGGCTTCAGCCATGTTTCATGATGATTCCAATGTGGGCGGCGCATACATGCCACACACTCCGCACGTACACGTCCGCGCGTTGCATGCACAACCCAGCACAATGCACGCGCAAACCGCGCACACCGCAGACAACCCACCGCACGCTGTACGCACGCACCGCCCGCGCCGCACGCACAGGCACAGACAACCCACCGCACGCTGTACGCACGCACCGCCCGCGCCGCACGCACATGCACAGACAACCCACCGCACACTGTACGCACACACAAAAAGACCCTTACCGCACAGGTTCTCATGTGCCCCCAACACAATCCTATTGAATTTTGATAACTTTTACCTAAGGCCACCCTGAATGCCTTCAGCTGCTACCTGTGCTGGGCATGGTTCTGGTTTTCTGGTTCGAAACTTGTCGAAAACTACGCTGGAAACTCACAAGTGATGGCGTGGGCACTTGGCGTGTTCATGCGATCACTTGTTGGCGCTGTGTACAGTCGGCGGTAGTTTGTTAGGTGTAGAGAGTGTACAAAGGCTGCTGCTGCTGGTTTTCGGCGAACTCTCTTACAGAAGTTGCCTTGCTGGCAACACCAGGTCCTCAAGCTGCACAGCTCTGCTCGTATGCAGGGCTCCTTGACCTCAGGCACACCAGTCACTTGTCACACTGGTGCAGACGTCCTTGTAAGGATTGAAATTGCAAGGTGGCTTGCCGTGCATGCCCGTTGAATTTGTCGGCTCCCACCCGCCTGCTTCGTGGTCCAGCTAGCTCACGCGTGCAACAGCAAGACTCTATGGCCTGTGGGCAGTAGAGTTTTGCTTCCGTAGCTAGGCTGTCAGATCCTTAGCTCTGCTAGTTGCTTTCTTGTACTGTTAGGCCTAGGAGCCGCGTGGACATTGCGACGCTCGGAGAGAAAATCCCATTTTTGGCTCAAGGTCTGGCTCGAGTGACCGCAGTGGTCGGAGAAGTAGTTGTCTGCAAACAGTCCTGGGCTCTAACTGTGTGCTGAAGAGACCCCAAACAGGTGAATCCCAGGCTTTGTAGCTGTGCTTCTTCGGGCCATCACTCCCACTTGCCTGTTCCCACCGGTAAGGGTTCAGCCCTCGGGGGACCAATCCACCTCACGAAGGGGATACGTCCACCCAGGCCCTCGGGGGAACTGTCCACCGCGCCAAGGGGGTACGTCCCCCTGTGGTGGGTGGTAGAGCAACGCCAGACACGGACCCACCCTACGAGGGGGGACAGTGTGGCTCAAGTTTGGGGTGCTCGCCCTTCTGTCTTCACGGTCAAAGCCACGGCTTTTGGAGGGTTTTCCTTGGTGCAGGGACACTAAGCACCCAGGGCCGGGCCAAGCTGGTGAGCAGTCTGGAGCGGGTGGCAGTCTCTACGCTGCGAGCTCACCCCAGGCAAACTTGAGCAAGCACCCAGTTGGTGCCCCTGGACTTACTGCAAGAGACCAGAGTCAGCTGTGTTAGTCGTTTGCTTTCACTACGTGCGGCCATGCATGCAGTGCACTCCTGGGACCATGCCTACCTGGGCAGGAGAACAGATGGAGGCAGGTCTGTACCGACAAGCAACGAGAAGGTTAGGATTGCCTACATGTGTGGTGTGGGTAAGTGACGGCAAGCGTGAGGACCACCAAGGTGGTGGAGGCTCCTCCAGGTGGTTTCCCTTGGCGGCTTTGGTAGGGTTTAGGGTTGTTTTTAGGGCGGCGGTGGGCCTTGTAGTGAGCCGCCAATACAGGAGCTCGCATTCTGGACATGCAGGAAGATCATCTCACCAGCCTCGAGGTGATCTTCCTTTTTAGCTCCCTTAGCCTCGGTCATCCGCTTGAGGGCCTTGCAGTACGCCTTCAAGCATGGTTGGGCCGAACCTGTCTGCGGGCAGGTGTCACATTTGCAGGAGTTACTGCGGGCTCTTGCGTCCCTGTGCTTGGCGTCGAGCTGAGCCAAGTACTTGGGATTTTCCTTAGTCCACTCCTTTTCAGGGTGGCATGGCAAGTGCGGCTAAGCGCTTGCTTCTTTATTGGCAGCAGGTTCCCAGGCCTGTCCAGACCGTGGGTCCTGCCTGAGCTGCAGCCCGAGCAAGGGTGATGGGTCAGCTGGTGCGGCGTCGTCCCCGCGCTTGTTGAGGGGAGCGTCGACTCCTGCGCGTTTGTGCATAGTAAGGGGTGCGTTTGCCCTCGCGCTCATTGAGAGGGTTTAGTGCCGGCTGACTTTTTCGCTTTGGTTTTGGTTTCAGCTGCCGAGGGTGGACGGTTGGCTAAGGCCGCCTTGTGAGCGTGAACAGGCCCGCGCCGGGGGCCAGTACCCAACCGCAGTGCAGAAGGCAGTGCGCGCTCACTGTCTCTGCATAGACCCTCTCAGTTTTGGCCTGGCCGTGTTTGGGCCTCGCCTTTCAGTGCAAACACCGCATGCACAGCTCTGTTGTTTGGCGCGGATCGTGCAGAGCCTCGCGGCGGATCCCTCCGAGTTGAGGTTTCTCTCGGCAGACAGGGGGCCTGTGGTCACTCTGCTGCTCGAGCCTTTTAGCCAAGGCAGTTTGCTTCCACTGCCCGTTACTGGGGTGGAGTTGGTTGGCAGAGGTAGCCGAGTGCCCAGAGCTGCTGCGGCATGGGTGCTCTGGCCCTTGTTAGTAAGAGCGAGAACGCAAGGGCCACCTCAGTTGCCGCCCAGCGTCCAACCCAAGCTCGTGAGTCTTAGGTTCTCTGCTCCAAGCCTTGGGGGGTTCTCCTCCCTACCGAGCAGCGGGGCACGGCCAGCTCACCAAAAGCTCTCCACAACTAGGGGGTCTGGCCCACCCTGGAGAAAGCGGCCCTTGCTGGTCTTGGTTCTCCTGGGAGGGACTGGCTTCCTAGAACCTCCCTAATGGTGGGAGGGAAAGGGCCTACAGGCTGAGTGAGCTGCTTCTTCAACCTCACTGGCAGGGACCGGGAGGTAGGACCTGTGTTAGGACCTGAAGTAGTTCCCTCCGCGTACCTCACCAGCATGAACTGGGAGGTCGGGGGTCTTAGAGAGTAGGACCTAGCCTGAGCGCTCCTTAACACAAGGAAGCTGCTTCTTTGGCTGTCAGAGTACAGCTTTCAGACCTGCCCTCACGGGCCGCGACTCTGTGCGCAAGACTGAGAAAATCCCATTTTTTTTTGGCTCAAGTTTTCGGCTCAGACTTTGCAGTGCCGTCGTGGCCTTTTAGCCTTGGGACCCACTTTGTCTAGAGGCTTCGAAGAGTCCCCAAACCCAACCTGGTAAAGGTCGTCGTAGGCCTGACAGCAGGCAAGGGTTTGGTGGGCGGCCCGGTAGGCTGTTCACTGCACGATCTGAGTGAGGTCGATCCTCCTCTTGCCGAGTGCACTTCTAGAGCTTGGAAGTGGGCACCACTCCTTGCTTGTTTCCTGCAGCCACTACTTCTGGTAGTGGTTTCCACACCAGCTTGCAGCCATGCCGCGCACTCCCAAGTGGATCCCGTGCGCTTGTGGGTACCACTGGGCCTGGAAACGCCAGGTCGAGTCAGGGGAAAACACCCACTGTGCGTACTGTGGCAGAAACTGGCAGAAGCAGCTGGCCAAGCAGCAGGCAAACAAGGAAGCCCGGGCCGAGAACTCCCAGAGCCCCCGAGCTGTCTGGGAGGACGGTCGCACCAAAGGCAAGGGAAAAGGAGAGGGAAAGGGTTCTAAGAACCCTCCAGGTGGCAAAGTCGGCGCGGTACTCGCGGGTCTTTGGAAAGACCTACCAGAGGCTGCCCAGAAAGCCTTTCAGGAGGTCGGGTACAGCCCACCTCGGCCGAAAGGGCCACCGCCACCCCCACCAGGACTGGACCTCCAGTCCCTCCTTAAGGGTAGGATGACCGAGAAGGAGTACAACGCTGCCAGGGCCGTGGTCTACGCGGGGGCAGGACTCCACGTCCAGACCCTTTTGGAGGCCGCGGGAATCCCCCCTCCACCAGATGAGGACCTCGACCAGCCAGAACCCACGCCCCAAGAGAAGCTGACCAGGTGTGTCAGCGACTTCAAGAAGGCCACCAACCAGATGAAGAATCTGGTGGAGAAGAAGGCCAAGCTCCAGGCACGAGCGGACAAGCTCAAGCAGGAGCTGGAAAAGCTCATTGGGGATGTGGACCAGGTCGACAAGGACATCAAGGCCAAGGACGTCGAGATCCAGGAGACGGCCAAGGCTTTCAAAGAGATGACGGCGGACTCCACCAGCACCGCCTTCAGCGCCCTGGAGGCGGTCCTTTCGGAGGCTGGCCACGAGCTCAATGAAGCCACCCGCGCCAAGATGAAGGCTGCCTTGGTCGGGAAGGAGGACCTCCCCCCGGACCCCTTCATAGTGAGTTTCAGAGGGCATGATGAGTACTTCCCTCGGGAGATGCCCCCCATGTATGGGCCTGCCCGCACCGATCCGCACCCCACACCTTTGGAAGGGACGAAGCGAGAGGGAGCTGCAGGCAGCGACAACCCCGAATAGGGGCGCCTAGGCCAGGGGAACCCTGCCTTCCCCCTGGCCCTTTCTGGGCCACGGGCCCCCAGGCAGATTTTGCAAGGGCAGCCGCCCAATCAGGCCCTTCTCCGCCCGTCAATGGAGGTTTTGCAGGCCTTTTCCAGTAACCAACTTGCTCTTTTACCGAGGGGGAGTGGTTCGCCACCCTACCTTGGCCAGGTGTCACGCAAGAGTGGAGTTTTTTGCAAGTTTTGCAAGTGTGATCTGCACGATTTAGGCAGCACTCACCTGTTTTGCGCGCGATGCAAAGTCTTTCATAAAACCCCGGCGGCGTTGCGATGGGAGTCAGCGCCGGCCCAAGGTTTCAAGGCGCCCTACCAGCCTCTTTCCTTGAGGCCTGGGCACGGCCTTTCGATTAGGGGTAGTGAGTTTACCACCCCCTTTTCTTCAACCCTGGCGTCGCAGGGTGTCCTCACGCCAACGTGTCCGACCAGAGCGCCCAGGATTTCCCCAGGCTCTCTGGGCCAAAATTTTTTCCAACCGGATGGGCCCTGGACCCTGAGCAGGAGCCCCCTGCCCCAAGTGGTGCCTTGGAGGTGCTGCCAAGGGGCAAAGGGGTACCTACGGGTTCGGGGTTCACCCCACCCACATCCCCCGCCAGGCCTGTGCTGTGCTTGGCCAAGGCCCTAGGCATTAGCCCGTCTCGCGGGGTTCGCAGCACGGCCCACGGCCCACGTGGGCGGCGTAAAGTGCAACAGGACTTCCTCTGGGAGTCCACCCGAAAACATCGTGCGGCCCATCGGGCTAGGAGGCAGCAACAGGCCAATTCTCTTTTCTGGCACTCCTGGCCTCCTGGTCCTGAGGCTCCACCTCGCCTCCTTCCCCCCCTGGTGACGCAGGGCGGCGGCCCCTTACCCCCCCCGGTCGGTCTCCTCCGAGACTCAGGAAGCGAAGGCCTAGCACCCGGGGGAAAGCGGGCAAGCCCCTCCCTGACCTCGAGCCTAAGGCAAATCCAGTTCAGGCCCTGGCTGCAGGGCTCGCAGATGAGCTTCGGACGCACAATGACTGGAGCAAGTCCGAACCCCAGGCTCTAGCCCTCGCTGAGGCCCTGGAAGGAGCAGATGAGGCCAGCTTGGGCTACCGGGTCTCTTATGAGATTCTCGAGGCCATGCAAGGCCACTCGTGGCTGGACCCCATCACCGCCGCGGCTTTCCTGGACGACCTCGCGGCTCAGGGGCACCAGGGATGTCAGGAGTCCGTTGTGTTTGTCAGTGCCAACATCACAACGTGGACTCCGGATATTCTCAAATGGCACCAGCCAAAAAAAGGGCCCCTTCTCATCCAGGAGCTGCACTTGGGAGATGAAGGTGCCAAAAAAACTGCGCATAGAAGCTTTAGCCAGAGGGTACCATACTTTCCTCCCCCCGGTTGAGGGCCCCAGACCCACCAAAGGGGGACTGGCCACACTTGTGCCCATCCATCAACAGGGACGTTTCAGAGGAGGGTACCTCTCTGACGAAGGGATCGGTTTCTTGTTGGTCGAACTCCCCAGGGTTCGCCATTCTATCCTCTTGGTCAACCTGTACCTAAAATCAGGTGTCGGCATCACTGGGGCGCCCAACCCGGAAGTCCTAGCCCGTTTGAAGCCCCTCCTGCGCCAAAATTCCAACTGGATTGTGGTTGGGGACTGGAATTTCCCATCGCAGGAGCTGGCTGAGACCACCCTGCCAGAGGCTTTTCGTGGGCGGATCGTCGCCCCGCCAGAGGCGACGATCACCACAGGTAACTGTCTTGATTTCGCCCTGGTCTCCACCAGTGTCGCTTCCCTGCTTACCTGTGCTGCCAGTTGGCAAGTGCCCTTCCGGCCTCACGCTGCCCTGGAGTGCTGTTTCAACACCCCCGGGGGCCAGGTCGCCTTGAGGCAACTACCTGGGGTGCTCAAAACAGACAGCACCAAGCCCCAAACGGGGGCCACTAGTCGAACAGACAGCCTCACTCAGGATTCGACCTTTTCTCAGTTCACCCCCGGCGGCAGCCCTATGCTTGGTGCTTTCGGGTCGGAGGTGATCCAGGGCACTCTGGCCAATCGCCAATTTGCCGAACTCACCCACCGGTTCGCGGTGGAACACTTCACCAAACCTGGCGGGCGTGGGTGCACCCGGCCCTTCGTGTACAAACCCCTCATGCAACCGAAGGAGGGCTACCCGTGGCACGGTAAGGAGGCGGCCTGGTGGCAAAAACTGCAACTTGCGCACCAGCAAGGCCCGCTTCGAGGCCCTACGGCGGTGTTTCCCATCGTCTTGCATGGAGGGGTTGCCGGCCAAACTTGAGAGTGCCGGCCTCTCTGGCCTCAGCCCGGAAGAGGTGCTCTGCAACGGGGAATCCAATGGGGCCTCCCGGGCTGGGATCCGCGCTTTTGTCAGGAGCATGTGCCAGGCCGCCATTGAAGAGTCCAGGTCCCGCGAGACACGGGACTACCAGGAGTGGCTTACCGGCGCCTCTGTGAAAGGCCTCCGACCGCTTTTCCGTACGGTCAAAAAGCAGGAGGCTGAGGTTGCCCGCCCATTCATGGACGAACCGGCGGAAGCCCGGCCCTACCTCCGACTGCAGCAGTGGGCTCGCCTCTGGGAGTCGAAGGGCCAGCCTCCTCCTCCCATCCAGGGCCTTAAAGAACGGGCCATTGCGCAAGCCCAGAGACTCCCGGCCGTCACTGGGGAGGAGTTCCAGCGGCTCATTCGTCGCCTGCCTTTGAAAGCGGCGGGTGCGGATGGCTGGTCCCTGGAGCTGCTCAAAGCCCTGACACCGGGTGAGGTTTCCTCCCTGGCCTCGTTTTGGAGGGAAATCGAAACCACGGGAGAGGTGCCACAGCAGATGACATTCACCATCTTCACGATGCTCGCTAAAAACGAGAAAATCGAAAGACCGATTGGTTTGATGTCTTCGCTCCTGAAGCTTGGGATGAAGGCAAGATGGCACCTAGTTGAAGCGTGGCTTCGCGACTATCGCGCTGAGCTTTGGTGGGACTGCGCTTTGCCGGAGCGCTCCACCTACGATGCCTCCCTCCGGAGAGGCGTCTGCTACGAAGCCGCGCGCGTCGACGGTCTGCATCGGTGCTCTCTGTTTGTCGACTTGAGTACCTTTTATGAGACTGTGGTTCACTCCACTCTCTGCGACGCCGCGCTCAATGCCGGATTCCCGGACCTTTTACTTTTCCTTGCTATGGAATCGTATCGCGGCGGCAGAGTGATCCTCTCCGACGAAGTCGCGTCGCCCGTTGCTTTCGCTCGTCGCGGAATTATAGCGGGCTGCCCATTAGCCCCTACCCTGAGTAAACTCGCTGTGGGCGAGCCGATCCGGCAGTGCTGCTCTGGACCGCATGTCAACCACGTAGATACGTGGATAGACGACATCACGGTAGATACTGAACATCACAGCCCGGACCAAGCAGCGAACTCAGTCATTAGGGTCTTCAGACGGCTTCATGCCTCGCTTTCTGCCGCTGGGTACCAGGTATCTATCGGCAAGACCTATTTCCTGGCGAGCAGTCCCCTTGCCGAGCGCGCCCTGCGGCGAAAGTTGGGTGAGGGTGACCCCCCCATTCAGAGTGTTGCCAAAGACCTGGGCATGACGCTGTCCGCTGGCAGGAGACGGTGCACTCGCCTCTCCACGGCGCGGCGGACTAAAGCCAACGCCCGACTGGGCAAGCTACGCAGCCTTAAGGTCCGCAACATCAAGGCCAGCAGCCGGGTGTTTTCTATGTCCGTGCTGGCATCGGGGATCTGGGGACACCAGGCCCAAGGGGTGAGCCCCAAAACTTTGAAATCGGTGCGTTTCCAAGCTGCCGCCATTACTGGCAAGGTTGGAACGGGCAGCGTCGAAATCGCGCTGGAACTGGGCGCCTGGCTGGTAAAGGACCCCAGGGTGGCAGTTGTCACCCAGCACTTCAAGGCCCTTTGTCGGGTGATGGTCCGCCTCCCTGACCGCGAGCAGCTGGACCGCACGTGGGCGCAGCTCACTACCCAGCTCCAGCGGAAAGACAGATGGCGAGTGGTCTGTGGACCGCTGGGGGCCATGATAGCCTATCTGCTGGATCTCGGGCTTGTGGCTCCCACCCCGGATCGTTGGTTATTCCCCGCCGACCTGTGTCCAGCTACCTTGGCAGGGGTCCCTGAGGACCTAGGGATGGTGGCCCTCAACCCCCTCCTACGGAGGCACTGGTCCGCCATCCTCTCTTGCCTGGCCAGCGCCTGCCACAAGGCCCGGAGGAAGGCCATCAGCACCCAAACGGGGTGCAGCAGTCTGGCCTCAGGTGTGGATACGACGGTCCCCACAGCCCTTGTGAAAAAGGCCCCGCGGATTAAGTCTGCCGCCCTGAGAATGGCCTGGCAGGGAGCTTTGAAAAACAGGCATGTCCAGGCTGGCCAGCTATGCCCCCTGTGCAAGGTGCCCCTCACCCAGCACCACGTCGCCACCGACTGCAGATGGTGGCGCGGCAAGGCACCCCCCCCTCCCAAACACTGGGAACGCCTCACTGCCCAGTTCCCCTACGACTGCTTATGGGAACGGGGCCTGATGCCAGCTCAGGCCACCCAGCTGCAGGGGTACTGCTGGGGCCCACAGTCGGAACGGGCCGTTGGTGTCTGCAAAGAGGCCAAGTGGCCAAAGGGGCTTTTCTACTCGACGGACGCCTCTGGTGGGCCCTACGCGGCCGACGCCAGGGGCAGGATAGTGGCCTGGGCCATCTGCGCGTTCACCTGGACGGAGGGTGCCCCTCTCCAGGTCGGCCAACTCACTGGCCTCCTCCCCCCGGGGAGTTCTGTGTGCGAAGGGGAATGCTTCGCGGTCGCAAGGCTCACCTCGCACTTGTTAGAGCGGGCAGATTGCACCTCCGACTGCAGTGCGGTGGTCAAGCAGCAGTCCCGCGCTGTCAGGCCATGGGTATGGGCCCAGGCGCTTGAAAATGCGTCTCTGGCGCAAGTCACGTGGACCAGGTCCCACACCACGGAGGCCGAACACGCGGCTGAATTCGGCCCCGACCAGAGCTGGCGCCGGACTATTAATGCCCAGGCTGACGCCGCATGTGGCGAAGCTGTGCTTGCCGCCATCGCCCACTTACCACAGTGGGATCCTTCCCCTGCAGATGATTTGGCGCGAGAGGTGGCGCAACACCTCCAACGCAAAGCCGAAGTGCTACTTCTGAGTACCGACAGGCCCCCTTGGGAGGCCGTCGGTGACGGCCCGGTAAAGGGCAAGGGGTCTCCCCGCCCTGATGCCAGGCTTAAGGCGAAACAGGCCAAACCCCCTCAGAGGCAGCATCGTCCTGGCGCGGATGGGGGTATTAATAAAAAACAACGCCTGGAAGCCCTAATGGCAGGGGAAGGCCACCATGGGCATCAATTCGAGTGGAGCCATACGAACCCCAACAACCACTCCTTGGTTTGTAAGGTTTGTTCCCTCTTTATCCAGCAAACCCACTCTTCCGAGGCCTTCCGGCGTCTGGAGGCACAGCCGTGCGCTCACCGGCCGCTGCCCGATCTCAGCAACTTTGGCCTGCACGCGTCCCACTCCTTCTACTGCATGGGGGCGGTCCTCCTTTGCACTAAATGCTATGCGGTCCACAAGCCAGGGCAGCTTAACCCCACGGCTGTGGCCAAATCGCAGTGCGAGGGGGCCTCCCGCGCCCACAAAAAACGTGGCACCCAATGGGCGGCCAAATACCTCAAGGAGACGTCCACCCAGGACACTCTCCAGAAGGTGCTAGGACGTGCAGGGAATGAGGGACCCGGTTTTTCCCAGGGGAGTCGCCTTCACAATCCAGGCCCGTTTGTTGGCCCTAGTGGTGCTGACAGGGTTGAGGACCCCTCCCCTCAGCCTCTTCGCACCCTGGAACAGTCTTCCTCCAAAGGCAAAAGCAAAAAAGGCAGGAACAACCAGCCTGCTCCGAAAGCCGCTGACCAAGGCCCGCCGGTTACCACCCAGGTGGCACCCAGCACAAAGGCCAAACGGGCCTCGAGCCTTCCCGCGAGACTGCCTCCGGGCAGAGGGTCATAGAGTGTCGCCAACCGCCGGAGGCGAGATGGATCGCCCTGGCAGTGAAGCCCTCAGCCCTTGCCTCTGAGGTGCTCAGCCTGTGCCGCAACAGGCTCAAGCTGGGGGGCTTGGACTGCCTCCAGGTCTGGCCAGACGAGGCGATCCTGGACCTGCGGTTGCCCATGGGCGACCAACTCCGTGAGGGTGAAAGGACCCTCATGGCTACTGGGCCTTCGGCCCTGCAGCCAGAGGTCCCTGAGGCCAGCGAGCCCTCCCTCAGCGAGGCTGCGGGGTCTACAGGAGGGACGGGGTGCCCCCCTCAAGAGCCTTCTTCGGATTCAGCTCTTGTAGAGGACGTGGAGGCACCACCCTCGTATGGACCCCACCGTGCAGTCAACAGCCCGGATGGGCTCTTTTGTTTCGCTTGTAGGGTCGGGTGCCCTACAATCGAACATATGCAAGCCCATTTCATGACTCCCGCGCATCAGGAGCGGGTCAGGAGGTTTTTGGCCTCCTAGCCTCCCCTCTCCTTTGCAGAGGCTGGAGGCTCTGCAGGGTGAAGGGTTCCTCCCCTCCGGGTGAGGCTTCCTCCCTGTAGGACTTCCGTCCTGTTTCACTGGGATGTGGCTCCCCACTCCCAGGAAGTGGCTACCCACTCCTGTCAGTAGCTCAGGTAGGTCAGGCAACCTGTAGCTCAGGGTAGGAGTAGCCACTGCCGCCACTTTGGCGATGCCCGCAAACGCGGATGACTCCAAAATACTTGGAATTAATTTGTGCATGTCGGACAAGCCTACGGGCTGCTTCTGCGAAGCGTGCGCGAGAAAATCCCATTTCGCCTCTGACCCCGCACCTTCCGTCCTTCAGGTCCCCCCCCGCATACCTCCTCCCCTCGGCTTAGCTGTTTTGGAGCCTGAGGTTTCGGGCAGGGCCTTTTTCACTCCGCCGTCGGGCCAACTGCCCGTGGCCCAACTCCTTCCGAGCGAGGGGTACTGGCCCACCTCTTTCTTTGAGGAGCCATCGGCCTCCTCCTCGGGTTTTAACTTCAATCTTGATGGCCAAGGTTCGGGAGTTTTCCTTCACCCTCAGGTGTTCGTTCCCCCCTCGGCCAGCCCTACCTCCTCCTCCCCTGAGTGGGTAGAGGTTCCACGCTCTTCTCGACGGCAGCCCCGGATTCTGTCTCTTGAGTCCTTGGTGGCGCCTCCCTCTCCTCTCACAGGGCCGGTATACTTCCCCCAGGCTTTCGCCTCGGACCCCGGCCCTGCCTCGACCTGGAACCCTAATTTGGTCCAGCCCTCCGGCCCATCGAGCCGTCGAGGTGCCAGGCGTGAAAGACGGTCCAAGCACCGCCGCCACCGGCTCCACACGCCGGGGCTTTTCACTCAGATCCAGGTCGAGATGTGCGACCAGGCCCTGAACCCTGCCTCCTCGGTTGAGCGCGACCTTGTTGAGTTCGCTTCTAAGGTTGAGGATGCTATTTCGCCGGGTTCTTCTGAGGAGTGGTTTTTGGAACACGCCCTCGATGCCATCCATGATGACACACCCTCCCCCGCTAAGTGGCACCTCCTCAAGCAAATGGCTCAGGTCCTCTCGTTGCAGCATAATACCCCCCACAGCCCCGCTACCTTTAGGCTCCTGTCCGCCAATGTTACTCACTGGAGGCCAGAGGTTCGGGATTGGGCCTTCTCTCTTGAAGGCCATGGGGTTCTGCTCCAGGAGCTTCACCTCACCTCTGAGGCTGCTCATGAGGCTACGATTGCCGCCTCTAAAAGAGGGTTTCGTCTCTTTACCTCGCCTCCCTTCCTGAGTGATAAGAGGCGCCCCTTGGGAGGTTTTGGTGTCCTCATCCGCTCCTTCCTTAATCCCCGCCATGTCCTTACCCACACCGTGGAGGGTTGTGGTTTCCTGGCCGTCTCGCTTCGGTGTTCCGGGTTCGAATTGACCCTGGTTTCCATCTACCTCCAGTCTGGTACTGGCTTTAACTCCCCGGTCAACGCCGATGTCCTTGCTCGCCTCTTAGCCTTTCTTCCTTCCCTCCGGGGTGTGTGGATCGTTGCTGGTGACTGGAACAACCCCATACAAGATCTGCTCGCCACTAGGCTTGAGGAAGTTTCCCATGGGCGTTTCCTGGGTACCGGTTCACCCACCGCAGCAACCGACCGGGAACTTGACTACCTTCTGGTCTCGTCTCCGGCTGTCGCTTTCTTGCAAGTTGCTCAGGACTGGGTCGTCCCCTTTAAGCCTCACTGCGCTCTGCGGGCCACTTTACAGCTCAGCTCTCTGCAGCTTCCCTTTCCGCAACTCGCTTCCTTTTGTGAGGTCTTTCCTGACCCCTTGCCCTTTCAACCCTCGGTCCCGAGCCCCTCGCCTATCGCGGAGGTTAATCTTCTTGGCCTCACATCCACCGACAAGCTCACTCTCGACTTCGCAGAGTTGAGCTCCTTCCTCGAGGTCTCTCACGGGTTCCCCGACCGAGGGCGTGGGGCTTTTGTTCCCTTTCTTCACCAGCCCCTTGTCCAGGGCCACTCTGTTGCCTTTGCCTGGAAAGGCCAGCTTCCCTCCTTGGTGTCAGCCTTGCTTCACCTTCTTGACCGACCCGACGCTGTGCAGTCCCTCTTGTGGTCCTTTTTGGACACTTCTCTCCCCTCCGAGGTCCGCGCCTTTTGTGACCGGGTGAGCGACGGCTCTGCTTCTCCCGCCACCCTCCGCGCCGAAGGCACTGCCCTCCTTGGTCAACTCCGGCGCGAGCAAACTGCCCAGCAAGCTGACCAGTACGGTGAGTGGCTGGAGGAAGCTTCGAGTTCGCACCTGGGGCCGCTCTTTCGAGCCATCAAGTCCCATGAGCAGGTGCTTGATCGGCCCTTTCAAGACTGCGATGGACTTCGCCGTGTCTTTGAACGACATGAGCATTGGGCCCGCGTCTGGCAAGCTTCGGTTTTTCCCCAGCACTTTGCTCACCCTCTCCTCGCGGAGCTCCGCTCGAGGGCCGTCTCCCATTCTGGCACCCTGGCTCCCTTGACTGTTCCCCACCTTCAGAAACTTCTCAAGAAAGCCGGGAAAAAGAAAGGGGGCCCGGACGGCTGGAGCTACCCAGCCCTTCGGGCACTGGACCCGGCAGCTCTTCAGCTCGTTGCCGACTTCCTCGCCCGTGCGGAGGCTGAGGTGCTTCTGCCTTTCCAGCTCACCTGCGTTCAGGTCGCTCTTCTCCCGAAGTCGGCCGACAAGGAACGCCCCATAAGTCTTCTACCGTGTCTGTGGAGATTGTGGGCACGGGCTAGGTGGCAGGACATCTCGGCTTGGACGTCGGCTTACGCCCCCGCCCACCCGTGGGACCGGGCGGTTCCAGGCCAGGCAAGCCTGGACACGGCACTGGCCCGCCTTGTCAGATCAGAGCATTCAAAGCTCGAGAGGACGCACATAGTGTCGCTCTTCCTCGATTTGCGAGGCTTCTTCGATTCTGTGAGCTATGAGCGCCTTCTCCTCCAAGGGCTCGCTCACAGTTTCCCTCCTCTTCACCTCTGGTTTGCCCTCCAGGTCTACCAGGGTCCTCGCTGCCTTGTGGCCGACTCGATCGCTGCCACGCCGCTCTTTCCTGGCCGGGGCGTGCCCCAGGGTTGCCCTCTCGCTCCCTCGCTTTCCAAACTCACCATGTCCGAGCCACTCCAGAAGGTTTCTTCCCTTCCCTTCGTCACCAACACAGACTTATGGTTGGACGACGTGAGTTTAGACGTGGTGGGTTCCGACCCTGTCGAGGTCGCTTCCTCTGCGCTTCAGGCCTACCGGGTACTTCACACCTCCCTCGGCCTTGAGGGCCTAGAGGTTGAGACCACAAAGACCAAGTTCGTCGCCGGCACGGCCCGCGCTCGCGCCGCGCTTCAGCAGCTGCGGCGCCCCGGCGAACCCGACACCGCCGACCTGGTTAAGGATCTCGGCCTTGACTGCGCTGCTGGCCGACGGCGGCGCATCACCACCGCCCAAAAGCGCTTTCGCACCGGCATCGGCCGAGTCCGCCACATGCGCCGCCTCCGCATACGCCGCAGGTGGGTGCGTGGCCGGCTGCTCCAAGCCTCCGCCCTTAAGGCTGGCCTTTATGGCCACCAGGCCGTTGGGGTTGCCCCTAAGCGCCTTAAGGTCTTACGCTCGGCGGTGGCGCGCAAGGCTGGTCGTTTCGAGCACGGCTCCGCCGACGTCATTCTCGACCTCATGTCCCACAAGGCCGTTGACCCACACCAGCTTGTGGTTGTGGAACAGCTTCAGGCCTCCAGCGCCTCACCCGAAGGCGTGAGGTTACTCACCCGCACTTGGGCCTCCTCCTGGTCCAGACAGGCCTCTGCCACCCATGGGTGGAAAATCGTGAACGGACCCGTTTCCGCGCTCATCCAGTACTTACTGGACTTGCGGGTGTCTGCCCCTACCCCTGAGGTCTGGACACACCGCGAAGCTACCTTTCACTTCCGCTTCCGCGATCCGGGAGCGGTTTTTGAGGCCTCTGCTTTCTTACGCCGGGTCATACAGCTCGAGCGCTGGTCCCGTATCGGCACCGTCTCCACTGCCGCTGGTGCCGCCTTAGGCATCGATTGGACCGTGCCCCGCCGCCTCTTAGCCAGTCCTCGGACGAAGCCCTGGCGGCATGGCCTTAGGGCCGTCTTTCAAGGCGCCCTCCTCCACTCTGGCAACGGAGGGAAGGAACGGTGCAAGTTCTGTGGCGGCCCCAACACCCTGCACCACCTCCTTTACGAGTGCGAAAACATCCCCGGCGCCCTCATGCCCGCGGGCTGGTTGTCCTACAAGCGGCGCCACCCTGCCGACTGCCTTTGGTTGCGCGGTATGCGCCCCCTTTCCCCCCGCGAGCCCCTCGCCCGCGAGGCTGAGGTACGCCGTACTGGCCTCTTTCTCGAAGGCACCCCTGACTTAACCGGGCTCTGCGTTGCCACCGACGCTTCCGGAGGCCCTGCCTCCAAGGATAGTCGCCTCCGCTCGGTCGGCTGGGCCGCGGTGGTTGCCAGCAGGAGTGATGGCGACCTTGTCGTGCTGGGCACCCTGTCCGGGCTTTTGCCTGCCCCTGCTTCTGTGCCGGAGGGTGAGAGCGAGGCCATCGCTCAGGTCCTCCTCTCTTCCAGAGGCACTTTTGACCTCACCTGCGACTGCCAGCCCGCCCTGCGCAGCCTCCAGGGGCCCTTCACGAAGCGCACCTCGCTTGTGTGGGCCAAGGCTTGGGAACACAGGCACCGAGCTGAACCCCACTGGGTGCGCTCTCACCTTAGTCCCTCGGACTTTTGTTTTGAGTTCGGCGCTGACGCCCTGTGGCGCCATGAGCTCAATTCTCTGGCGGACAAGCTCGCCAGGGACCGCGCGGAGGAGGTTCAGACCCCACACCGTCTTGCCGCCCAGAAGGAGGTAGACCGTGTCACCTCCCTCGTTTGTGAGTATCTCGGTCACCGCGCGGTCGCAATTTTGGCCAAGGCCGAAAAGGAGGATTTCGTGCCGCGGAAGAACCGCCTCCTCTCCGCTCTTGAGCCCTCCTCTTCCCCCTCGCCCAACAAGAGGCAGAGGTTGCAGGCCCTTCTTGACGAACCCCCTCTCCCGGGAGGGCACGTTTGGTCTCGCACCTCTAAGGAGAAGAGTTTCAACATGTGTGTTAAATGCTCCGAGTGCTCCCTTTGCATCTACCAGGTTGACACGCCGGAAACCTTTGAGCGCCTCATTTCATTCCCGTGCCGAACGGCTGCGGTTTCGTGCCCCTTTCCGGTCCACCCCTCGCACAGTCTTGTGCGCCAGGGGCCGTCCTGGAAGTGTGGCCAGTGCCATGGCCAAGTGACTCTTCGCATGGGCGTCGCGCCAAAAAAGCTCGTAGCGCCTTGTGCGCTTCCTTCGGTGCGGGGGTTTTTCTCTACGGGTTCCCCCTCCCCTGGGCTCCAGGCTTCTCCTTCTGCCTCTGCCGCTGCCCCTAAGGTCCCCTCCGTGCCTTGCTCCTGGGGTTCACTTCAGGGTTCTGCGTCTGCTTCTGCCCTCACTTCGGTTGAGGTTCCAAAACCCCAAGCCTCCCCTTTCGAAGGCCCCAGGTCTCCTTCGGAGGTTCCCCGGGCCCAGGCTCTTGCTAGCCCTGGTTTGGCACTTGAGGCCCCAGCTCTACAGGCCCCAGGCTTCGCTCTTCCTAGTGCCCCCGCCTCCAAGCCTAAAGCTAGGCCTCGTCCCAAGCCCAAGCTCAAGCCTTCCGCCGCGTGCCCTCCAATCACTCAGTTCTTCCGCTAGCTTCGGCTCAAGAAGGGCGACCATGGGGCCCAAAGGAAAGGGTCGTCACGCCCACGAACAGCAGGAGCGTTTCGACCAAACAAAGCCAAAGCTCGCCAGGAGCATGACCGTGAGCGGGTGCAGGCGAATCCGCCTCCCGCACCACCACCGGCTCCTCGCCGAAGGGCTGAGGTCGAAGACGACGAGGACCAACCCCTTCCCTGGTCACGCCGCGTGACAAACCGCACGACAACCAGCGAACTCCTGGCTGGAGTTGCGATCCTACGGCCCGGTGGGTTCCGAGGAACCCACCGTCCGGCCATATTCGCGCGCTGCGGCAGGTAAAGCCCGCCAGTCGCGACGTTTCTCCGAGGAGAAACTGCAACGAGGAGAGCGGGTTGAGCGTGAGGCGATGCCAATCGCCCTGCCCCCCCCGCCTTGTTTCGATCTCGAGATAGAGCACATCCGGATCTTTGCGTTTCGGCGGGGGGGGGCGGGGGGGGTTGGGTTTGGCAACGGGGGGTGGGAGGGGGGGGTTGTCTGCCGGCCTGGTCGCCACTGCCGCTGGGGCAGGCTGCGGGGGGGAGGACGGGGAGGAGTCCGCAGACTCCACCTCCATTGCAACCTCAGCCACTGGGGGCGAGGGGCCGGCAGAGCCTGACGACTTACTGGCTGCTCGTGGACGAGCACGAGATCGCGGCTCATGACAGCCCGCATCTCGCGGTGCCGCCCTCGCCCCTGGTGGCTGAGGTCCCCCAACGAGAGGTGGCACCAGAGCTCCCCCCAGCAACCTCCTCGCCTCCGGCTGAGGTTTCCCTCCCCCGTGCTGCTTCCCTGGCCACACGTGGGTCTTCCCCGCTCCCGGAACCAACTGGCCCTCCGATGAGCTTTCACCCCCGTAACCGTGGGCCTCCAGCACAGGTGGAGCACTCAGTCACTGCTGGAGTTGCCTCCTCAGCCCCGGCCGGCCCCCGGCCCTCTCCGGTGGCTGAGGCCTGTCCCCCGACAGGTCCTAAGAGCCTTTCCTCGCCTTCGGCTGAAGGTCGCTTCTCCTTCCCCGGCTCCTCCTCGGCAGCCGGATGCGGAGTCCGCCTCCTCGGCCCTAGCTCAGGCTCCGCGCCCAGGCCTTCCCCAACAGGGCACCCCTGCTTCCAAGGCCATCGGCCCTCTGTCAACTCCTGAGGTCAGGCCCTCGCCTTTGGCTGAGGTAGCAACCTCTGGTTCAGTGGGCCCCGAGCCCAAGGCTACCGCCCGGCCTCCCTTAGGCCCTCCTGGTACCTTGTCAAAGAAGGGTGAGCCTGCCCCACACACACCCAGTGGCCCGGGTAAAGGGGCCACAATCTCCACCGCTGCTTCGGCAGCTGCAACTCCAGACGTTGCCTCCACAGCTGGCAGTGGCCCCCTTGAGACCCTCGCCTCCTTGGCTGAGGTTTCGGGTCTCTCTACGGCCCCGCCGGACCCTGCAGAGCCAGAGCTCGCTGGCCTCGCAGCGGCTGCCGAGCAGAGAGGGGCCAGTCCTAGCTTCCCGAACCCCTCGGGGGTCTCAGGTGACGAAGCGACGGACTCTCCAAGCTCGTCTCCTCGCCGGCCGGCTAGAGGTCCGGCTCCAGCTGAGGCTCGTCAAGAGCCGGCCCACGTGCAGGTCTTCAGCAAGAACTTCCTCCGCTGTTTTGCATGCGGCGTTACTACTTCCAATCAACAACTGATGGAAGCCCATGCCGGAAGAACCAAACCAAGCTCCAGCCTTTCGCGAACGCTTACCAGCCGTGACACTGGTGCCAGAGACCGGGAATTGGATCTGATGTAGCATCGCAGACGATGTTGCCACCAATGACCTCCAGGCACGTCCGCCTTACCACGGCCTATGTGGCCAAGCGAAGGCGCGAGCTGGCAGCTGCCCAGGCTGCCCAGCCTTCCGTGCCGTAGGCCCCGAGCCTTGGCACTCGTCTCCCCAGACACACCTCAGGTTCCTTCCTCGCCTTTTGGCTGAGGTTCGACCCTCAGCGGTGCTTGGAGGGCCCCGGGCACTCCTTGGTCCTTTCCTCGCCTGTTCGGCTGAGGTCTGCTTCTGAGGCAGCCTGCCCGGGCCGGTAGAACCCCGCCTGTACAGACTTTGGTAGGGCCTACCCCTCGTCTGAAAACGACTGAGGTTGGCGGGTGTAACTAGCCACCTGTAGTCCAGGACGTAGGGCCGCCCTTGCCCAAAGTGGCTGAGGTTTCTCACCAGAATGCATGCTGAATTCATCTTCGGACACGTCTACGACGGCTTGCAGCTCGGCGACGAAAATCCCATTTGACCTTGGATGTCCTGATGTTTTCGGCATGCCTGAAGCTGTGAGGGGTGCTTTTGAGTTAGGAAGTGACTGCACGTTCGTTTCGTCTCGTTTCGTTAGTGCTTGAAGTGTTTTGCTTGGAGACAGACAGCTGCAAGGTGTTTCACTGTCAGTCAGAGCCCGACGCGACTCCGCTTTGGCTCAAGAAAAAAGACCGAGTGCTGCGCGCTCTGTTTTTCACAA